ATGAAGTTGTTACGTGCTTTGCTATATAATGCGCTGAAAAGCAAAGCAAAATCCATAAAAATTTTTCATATAATTTGACCTGCCAATCCTATTCCTGGACATCTGTCCTAAAGAAATAATTCAAAAGATGCAAAAGCTACCTAAATGAAGATTTCAGCACAGAAAAAATTGGAACTATATAGATGTTCCTTCCATAAAGGGAAAATAGTTTAATAAATTATGGTACATCAACATGTTGAAGTATTGCTCAGTCTTAAAATAATTATGAAGGCTGTAGATATTTGGAGAAAGAATATTTAACTGTGTTTGCTAAGATTACAAATGTTAAAAATATGCATGTGTGCCTACTGGCAAGAAAGTAATGTGCAACATAAATTTAGTCGTTAAGAATGAAAAAATATATGCAAAATATTAACAACAGTTATCTCTGACCAAAAGGATTATGGATGATTTTTATTTTCCTCTTTAATCTTCTCTGTATCTCCCAAGCTTTCCATCTTTCAAAAAAAGCGTGTGTTTTTATTTTTGGGGAAGAATATAATGGCTTCTGTAAGAATGAGCCTTTTGTGTCTGGAAAAATAATGTATAATGATGATGTACATTATGAGTTAGCATTTACTTCAGTGCTACTTTTACAATAAAATTATTACTTTTAAAAAAATAAATGGATTCTATACCCAGAAGCTGACCACTTCTCATGACACCTGGAGGGATCACTCTGGTCATCATCTGTCACTTAGATTATGCTAATAGCTTCTACTTGGTCTTCTGTCTTCTGCTTTTGCCTAATCTCAACTCGGCAGCCAAGAGTGGATTTGAAGACATCCATCGGGCACCACTCCTCTGCTCAGCTGCCTGCGGTGGCTCTGCATCTGACCCAGAGTGACACTGCGTGTCTCCTGCCCCCATCTCTGACTGCTCTACCCACCTGGCTCCAGCCACACCCACTGCTGGTCCTTCCTCTAACAGGCTAGACATGCTCTCTCCTGAGGACCTTTGTGCCCCCTCTTCCAGGAGCACTCTTCTCCCACCTATCTACAGGCCAACAACCTTGTTTCCTTCTGATTCTTCACCTGGGTATTCCTTGACCATCTGTGTCAGATTTCATCCTCTGCCAATCCCCTGCCCTGCCCATGCCCTCCAGATCCCCACAGCCTGCTCAACTTTCTTTTTTTTTTCTTTGAGACAGAGTATTGCTTTGTCACCAAGGCTGGAGTGCAGTCGTATGATCTCGGCTCCCTGCAACCTCCACCTCCCGGATTCAAGCGATTCTCCTGCCTCAGCCACCTAAGTAGTTGGGATTACAAGTGCCCCCCACCACGCCCAGCTAATTTTTGTATGTTTAGTAGAGATGGGGTTTCACCATGTTGGTCAGGCTGGTCTTGAACTCCTGACCTCGTGATCTGACCGCTTTGGCCTCCCAAAGTGCTGGGATTACTGGCGTGAGCCACCGCGCCTTACTTTCTCTTTTCCGTGGCATGTATCCTCTTCTTCCATTCTATATGAATTATGTATATTCACTTTCTGTCTCCTCCCATTAGTATATGGGAGGAGGGAGTTTTGGCCTGTTCTGTTCACTGATGAGCCTGATATGTGCTATCTAGGTGCTTAATGTATATTTGTTGAATAAATTTGTTACAGATGATTTGAATCAGATGATGGCCTGCTGGGAACGCCATTAAAAAGGAAAAGAGCGCTGGGCACAGTGGCTCAAGCCTGTAATCCTAGCACTTTAGGAGGCTGAGGTGGGCTGATTGCCTGAGCTCAGGAGTTTGAGACCACCCTGAACAATATGGTGAGACCCCATCTGTACTAAAATACAAAAGAATTAGCTGGGCATGGTGGTGCGCGGATGTAGTCCCAGCTACTCAGGAGGCTGAGGTGGGAGAATTGCTTGAACCCAAGAGGCCGAGGTTGCAGTGAGCCGAGATCCCGTCACTGCACTCCAGCCTGGGTGACAGAGCGAGACTCAGTCTCAAAAAAAAAAAAAAAGAAAAGAAAAGAAAAAAGGAAGGAAAACTGCGAACTGAGGTCCAGGCCTGGGCTGGGGAAATCCTCTACGGAGTGGCCAAGAGTCCAGATCCAGAGTCTTCAGGACCTGGAATGCTTATGTCTGGTCTAGGCTGGTATCATCAGGATCCCAGGATTGTATGCAGGTGGTGGGGTGGGGGCAGCAGTTTCCAGACAATACGTCCCAGCTGGCAGGGTGGGAGCCCCCGCCATTCTCCCAGGGTTCATCTGCAGGTGGCTGGCGATTCTTGTCAATAGTGGCTAGAGCTAGAGCAGACCCAGGCTGTCTGCTGGAGGTGCTTACCAGCCAGAGTAGACCCAGGACACTTACATCTCCCATCAAAGAGAACAAATGTCAGAGAGACGCAGCTCTTAGCCAGTCACAAAAGGGACCAAGGACCAAGGCCCCACTGCACAGATCCCCTCATATAAACATGAGGTGGGCATGAAAACTATGAAACTAGGAGCTTTATTATTTAAGCCCCAGAATTATGGCTTTGTTTGCCCTCCCATGAAGAAATGCATCGCCAGTCAGCTGCTGGATTGGAATAAACGGAGGGAAGGGTGGCAAGAAAGGGAGGGATGAAGGACGGGAGACAGAGATAAACAATGTATTTAACTAGAACAAGGGATTTCTTATTAAGCAACCTTGGTCAGCAATCATATCCTACCCCAGAGTTAGATGATACTTTTAACTTATATCTAAACATTAAGTGAAACAGTGATCTTAGTTTTATCTCTTAATTAAAACAATGAATAGCTTTGATTTTCTCTGTACACTTTGTCCAAACACACTCATGCATTTCCTTGATGTGAATGTTCCTGCTGGTCAGTGTCTTTCCCCTGCCTGCCATGTGCTTTGCTGCTGTGGTGTTTCTTTGTTTGTTTGTTTTTGCAGAAACAATCCACGTTGGCGATATTGGTCAAGCTAAGTCCACTTGGGTAAATTCCAACTTGTCAAATTATTCTTTTTTTTTTTTTCCTTAAGAAAATGGATTATATTCCAGAATCTGGCCACCTCTCATGACATCTCTGGCTACCACCCTGGCCCGAGCCACCATCACCTCTCGCTGAGTCACCTTCATATCTCCAGCGCTTAGTCTTCCATCTTCCACCCCAGACCCTCAACACGGCAGCCAGAGGGCATCTCTGAGCAGGACAGTCTGAATGAGGCTTCCTCAGTTTTACCCGTGGGCATTTGTCACCACAGTCGTTCAGCCTCTTGGGATAGGATTTAAGTGTGTCCAAAAATACCTCCAGAGATTTGTGCTTCCGTGTCGACTGTTAGGAGGGCTGCTGCTTCCTAAACTGTTTGAATGTAAAGGCACACAGATGAACGTCAGAAAGGGCTGGGAGAAGCTTTCCCTAATAGGAAAGTGGCACGCCACCCGTGTAGACAAAAAATAAAACACCCAATTTTAGTTTTATGAGTTGCTGTCTTGTGTGTTGGTAACTGAGTCACCAAAAGTCTGTTCTCCTTTGATTGCTAACTCCTCCGAAGTGACCCTGGGTCTTCCCTGTTACATGGTGGGGTTTGGTTGGTTCTGGTTTCTGGATGAGAGTCAATAGGCTCGTGAACTTTCAACTTCATTGTGGGGTGTTGCCTTAATGGACTAAGAAAACAGATATTCCTGCTTAATTCTCAGAATGACTTCTAAACTAATGCTAAAGCAAAATAATATAGCTTTCTTCATTATTCCATTTAAAAGGTAGAAAAGTAGATCCTCTTACCATGTAAAAGGCTCTTTTATCTGAACTTATTATGAGGACTTTATTTTAAAAACTATGTGAAGATAAACATCTTTGTCCCAAGAGGCAGAGTGGCTTTATTTGACATTAGAAACCCATTTAAAATGGCAGATAAGAGCATTAACAAAAGCATAGTTCCTCGAATGCCTGCTTTTGTGACGTGGGTGGATCTGGCTGTAGCCTTTAAGGTTATTAATTGGCATGAATGCCCCAAGGCTGCTCTCAGTTTCTCTGTCTGTGAAGCATTTTATGTGGGAGCTCTGGGGTGACTCTGGGTCCACAGTCATGTTCACAAGCCATCTCTTCCGCAGGACTGCCCTGGCTTGACGGCTGTTGGCTGGGTCCCCAGATACTCTCAGGGCAAGAACTGTTGTGTTATAACCACCTGCCATCTGTTGGTGCAAATTTTCTGGATTCTAGATGATGAATCACTTACTTCTCCTGCTGTTCCTTCTGCTGCCAAAACTAATTTACCTATTGGACTTTATCAGGAATATACTGGAGTAACCTATCATGAAGGTTTGTCCTATGCAAAGTTCCTACTCCATCACTAGAAAAGGTGGGGAAGGGTTTTCTTAGCATCTCCAGAGGTAGGGAGAAGACCCAGTAGTAACAATGTGGGATCCTCACTCTGGGGTCCTTTGCACATAAAGCTATAGCCACTGACTTCAGTAAGGTTTGAGTTGAGAGTTCAATGGTGGGTTCATATTTTCTTGCTAACACTTTCTTGCCAGGACACCCATGCTTGTCTTGAAGTGTGGCACCTGGTAAGCGCTCAATGACCATTGGTTAAATGAATAACTGAGGTCTGTGACCCCAAATGGGGCAAGGCTGACCCACCCAAAGCCACCAAGGGGAGTGTGTTAGGCCAGTTGACCCCATTTAGGACAGGGGGCCTCAGCTGCAATGCCACATGAGGAGCCATCAGGAACTCTGAATCCTGATTTAGTTTGTTCTTGCCAACCCTCAAAATCAGAGTACTTGGAATGATGTTTAGGAAAAATTCAGGTGACTCTTATCCAGACAAGCTAAGCGCTGTGACAGAAGCTGAGAACAGGAGCCCCGGAGCTTCTGCAGTGGGCATCGGAAGTGTCCAGGGAGGAGGACATGGTCCTAACAGTGGAACAAGTGCTTTCCCAGTGAGAAAACTGAAGATCAGGCTAACACACCCCTTTGTCCAGTTGTGTGTGGGAGGTGAAGTCTTAGGTTAAAATACGAGATGCACTTCTCCACTGACTCAGTTTCACACAAGTTGGTTTTTATTGTTAGTAACATCATCTTTTGTCCAAAAAAAAAAGTTTATTATGATGGTTTGAGTCTAGCTTTATTCATATATCCTAAAATATTTCTATGCTTATGCCTTCCACTTTTTCCCAACCCCAAAATTCTAAGCTCACCAGCAGCAGCAAATCCTAAGCGTAGAAGATTCTAACTCCTTCAAGCTTGCTCCATTTCACTCAAGTTTTCTAAAGCTTTCCTGTCTGGAGAAATTACCAAGTCCCAGGTGGGTGGCATTTTATTCTTACCACGGAGTAGGTGTGATTTTATGGGAGGCTCTTCCCCCAGCCTCCTAGATCAGACGTAGAGTTACATGCCCGAGTCCTGGTGGGAAGTGAAATTCCTGTACTTTTAGGTTCTGGGCTCAAGTTCCCTCTGCTGTGGTCATTAACGGGAAGAGGTGGCCAGTTGTGTGGGCCTGCCCGAGGCACCACTGGCCCCAGCTGACCTTTCCAGTCAAAGGAATGGCTGACCAAACCAGGATGGTATTAAGAAATTCTGTAAAACGTTCAGAGATAACCTATTCTAGAGTGATCTGGGTGGTGTGGGATACAGTTAGGACAAGGCCAGCCACTTTCTTCTGAGCAAATGGCAGTGGTGCCCATCTCCACTGCTAAGCCTCAGTATGCAACAAAAACACTCCCAACCATGCACCTTATCTGAGCACAGGATGCGCTTGTTGCTGGGGTAGCCATATTTATATGCTTCTGGAACTCCTGATTCCTGCCTTCTCTCTGTATACCCAGGAGGCGGGGGCACACACCAGAACTCAGGGCTTCGTGATGACCAAGCTCTGGGGGAACAACATGCCCAGAACGTCTGAGTGTTCCCTACTCTGAAGGATGATTTGGCCATAAAAGGGATCAGATGAGTCATGGAGTCCGGCTGAACTTGCAGTAGAAGAGAACATTGGCAAATCGTCCATATCATCACTTCAAAGTTGGAAACACAAGACTCCATGGTCTTCAAAGCAGCTCAGGCTAAGACAGGCTGATGTACTTCATGACGGCCAACCAGATGCTTGGGGCACATGGTCTTTCAGTACAGGCACAGCAGAGTAACACCAGACCAAGGCAACCCCCTCCTCCTCCAGAGGTTCTAAGTCAGAACAGGCACCTCTGTCACAGCTCCAAAGGACACTCCATGTTTGAAGTGGGCAACACACTGAAACTGGGGAATAAAACAACTGCTCCAACCCCAGATAAGCCAAGGAAGTTGTCAGTACAAACCCGTTTAGACTTAGAGGCTTGCACATTTTAAAAACAAAAGATTCCATTACTGACAAAAGCAAAAGAAATCAGATTGCACTGGCTTTTTCTGTTTTGGAAGATTTCAGCCCACAAAGTAGCTACCAGAAGTTGTAAACCTAGTCAGTCTCTATTTAAAAGTAGCTACTGGGTAATCCATGCTCACGGAAGCAACTTACTTTCAAGCTCTAGAACTATTTTAGAAAAGCTGATGTTTTGGGGGAAGAAAACCCATTCTTCCCTTCGATGCCACCTCATACAAATAATAAATCCCTAAGAAACTAACCATGCATGGCCAAGGGCTACTTCCAAAGACGGGGTCAACAGCCTGTTTCTTTAAAATACTTGCAAGAAACACAAATGCCAGTTAGATAGTTCCTACACCCTGGTTATTTACCAGACTAGAATCCACTCTGGGAAGTGTTTAATCCTGCATCAAATACAGAAAGGAAAGCATTGGCGTCAAGAGAATCAGAGTTCACTGTAAAGGCAAGCTGGTGTTCCAAAAGGACCATTAGTTTAGAAGGACCCCAAACTCTGGAAAGGAGAAGTCGTGATCACCACTGTTTCAGGAACAGCCTTGGTAACTTGCCAGTTATGCTGGTGGCGGAGAGAATGGAACAGCTGGAAGGGAGCCTTCTCAGCGCACTTGGCGCAGGCACAGATTTCACTGCTTCAGAGGACATGCAGTGGACACGAGAGTCCCACGCTTCCCAGTTGCACCAGGTCCACATGGCACTCGAAACAGGCTGTCTGGGAGGCCACGACGCCCAAGCATGCTCCTTTGCTCAGAGACCCAGGACCTCAGCTGGGTGGCCAGCTTTCCCCATCTTCCAGTGAGATGCCCAGCACAGACTTGTGGGGGATTCGGCACTCTTGTAGAGATTTGGTGAGGTCAGAAAATCGCCTCCTGGGCACCTCCATTGTTTCAATGCTGCAGTGTTGGTAGGAGGTTTTGTTTTTCTGTTCCGCCACAGCAACAATGGTTTGCAAATCATCAGTTGGCCGGAAATGGCGTACAAACCTTTGGCCTGTTGGTGATCTGACAGCAAGCAGCAACCTTGGTTCTTGGTCCGATGGTTCCTCCAGGTTTCCAGCCCTGGAAGAGCCCTGTTTCTTGGTTCGGATGATGAATTTCCTCTCCATGGCAAAAGCTTGAGCTCTGGAATCTTGTTCACTTGTCTTCATGCTGCAGGTCTCCTCTTGGTAAAGAGCCTGGATACTGCTCAGTTGCAGTGAGCTGGCCTTTTTGGCGACGCTTTCCACAGCCTCCTCCTCCGGGTTCTTTCTGTTGATAGAAGGAAGGACTGGATACTTATTGAGAGAAGAGGAAGCTCCAATGGGAACTTGCTGCAGCAGCTCAGGGATCTCATCAGAAGCTCCCTGGTTTGGAGATTTGGGTGCACAGGCTCCTGGTTTTTGGCTGCTTGGCGACTCATAGGGAATGGCTGGAGGCGGAGATGGTATATGATGAGCGCACACCTCTGCGCCCTGGGATTTTTGCAGACTTGGTCTTGTCCGTCCCTTGGCGGACTTGGGCCTTATCATGTGCATATTTAGTGAGTTTGGCTGCCAAATGAGGTTGTCAACTGCTGTGCTGACAACAGTGCTACACTCAGGTGGTGCTATATTCACAGGGGCTTCTGTGGCCATTGCTTCTCAAGACCCCTAAGGAAGCAGGAAAAAAACAGGAGACCATGGGTTAAACTTCCTGGGACTCCTAGATCCAAGCCATTCCCTCCCTGAGTGCCCAGAATAAGCACAAATTTCTGGCATCTAGAAAGGGGCACCAGCTGCAATTTATTCATTCAGGCATGCATTCATTTATTTTAGGCACTTGGGAGACATCAGCGAAACGAAGTCCTTGCAATGTAAATCATTATAGTGAGGAAAGACAGGGGTTAAAACCCACAAGTAAATAGTCATTTTCAAAGAGTAACAACTGCTATCAAGAAAATAAAAAGTATTGCACCTAAGCGTGATTAAGGTGGGGGACTAATTCTTACTCTTTTAGGAGGGGGGAAGTTTCTGGTAAAAACCAGAAAACCTGCTGTGTTTCAATAAAACTTCATTTTTGGACTCTGAAATTTGAATTTCAGATAATTTTCATGTGTCACAAAATACGCTCTTTTGATTCTTCTTCAATGATTTTAAAATGTGAAAGCTATTCTAAGTTCATGAGCCACACAAAATAGGTGACAGGCCAGATTTGGGCTGTGGGCCATCATTTGTTGGTCGCTGTCCTATAGCAACTCTGGGCATATGCTAATTCTACAGATGTGTGAGCCAGAAAGGTAGAGTGATTTCCTGATGGTCACACAGCCAGCTGGTGGCAGAGCAAGAGATAGGACCCAGGTCTTGTGACACCCGGTCCTGTGTCCTCTGTACCCATACAAGCTGCTTCCTGAGCCCAGCACATCACATTCTGTATGTCTACTAGCTGCTCACATTTCCTTCTTTCTTTCTTTTCTTTTTTTTTTCTTTTTTTGAGACAGAGTCTCACTCCATCACTCAGGCTGCAATGCAGTGGCACGATCTCAGCTCATTGCAATCTCCGCCTCCCAGGTTCAAGCAATTCTTGTGCCTCAGTCTCCCGAGCTGTTCAGACTTCTGTCTTCCCAGCTACCTGATAGGCACCCTGGGGCCTCTGTATCTGGATCTCCCACCAAGAGTCTATGTGAGTGCTGGTTAAATCCGCCAGAAGCAATGAACCGAAGCATGGTGGGAGGCGTGAACATTTCTCTGTGCAGACCCGGAATTGCTAAACCATGACACCTCCTCTTTCATTGCCATCTTGGTGGCCACTTCACTAACACTACTACCAGCACCTCCTCCTCCCAATCTCCAGTTCCATCTTTCCCTAAACATTGCAGACATCTTGTTGGGCTCCCTGCCTCCCTCTGAGTCCTGACCACCACTGTGACTCCTGACTTTTCTGCTCACAAGTGAACCTGGCCTCTCCTAGCCTTCTAAAGACCTTCTGGTGACTTTCCAGTGATTCATGATCCCCAAGAAACAGCATATTTGGGAGCAAAGGACAGAGGACCGGGTGTCACAAGGTGTGGGTTCAATTTCAGCTTCTCTGCCACTGGCTAGCTACCTGATCAAGGGGCAATCACTCTACCTTTCTGGCACAAAACTTTCCTCATCTATCAAATTAGCTAAATGATCTTAGAAGTATTACTTAAATACCTCAGAACATCAGTCTTTTTGTCTGTAACATGAGGATAATAACATGAAATAATGTAGGTAAGGCGGGAAGCACCAGGCTTAGTGCATGGTAGAAACTTAATTAAACGTTAAGGGATTTTGTTGTTGTTGTTGTTGTTTGCTTTGGGTTGTCTGTTTAGTGCTTTCTGTGTGCTAAATTCAAAAGCCTTCCTTGTTTTGCTCTAGAACTTTTCCCCTTGTGTCCTTGGTGATTCTACTCCTAGTCAACCAGCTGGGTGAGTCCTGAAACTCATGCCTGCCCTGTCCACTACACAGAAACACAGGGAGGTGGATTGCAATGAGCTACCACCTATTCAGTTGCCTCAAAAACATGTGAAAAAAAAATCCTGAGTTGATCACTTCTCTTCTAATTCCACATTTTACTTACCTCAAATTCACTTCCCGTAGAATGATTACTTCCTGCAAATTCATTCCTTTCATCACAAAATCTTCAACGTAATCTGAGCCTCTCAGGGTATGTATTCTAACCTTACCATTCCGTGCATGTAACCACTGCTGCCTAATTTTAGGGAGTATCTGCTTCCTCTCCTCTCAAACCAGGACCAAACAAAACACAGTATCCCTGTATCTTCCTGATGTCCTGCTCAATTCAAAATCTGGGACAAAGCTACCCTCTTTTAAAGGCCTCTATGTCGGCTGCATTCTACTCACAGCCTGAGTCTCTCTCCACTCCCCATTTTCCACTTCTCCCTCGTCTTTCACACCCAGTCTGGCTGCTAGTAGCTCAGGAGCCTTCTCCTTAGCAAAGTTTTGGCATCAAAAAAGACTGCCCATCTCCTTGTTAATTTCATCTATTTTCTGATCAACTGTGAAGAATGTGTTTTTCCCCCTTTAGTCTCATTCTCAAGTCTTTCTCTGGCAATTAGCAGCTCTGCACTTTCACTCAGGATGGCAGGAGAAGGTCATAACTGTCCAACTGTTCTGCCAAAGATAAGCTCCACAGGCAAACCCACGCCCCTCTCGGCCCACCCTCCCCACTTGTGGAATGGCTATTAATTTGCCACAGCTTCTACAGAATTATCACAGGCTTGGCTTCCAACACCCACACATGCCTCAGGAAGGTTTAGCTGTCAGTGAGTTTGGTAACTTAGAAACCTCTTCCTTAACAACTTTGATGAGGAGAGTCATGTGTTCTCACAGGCTCTCTGTGGGATTATTTTTAACAGTAAAACTTGAGTATGTGCATGCACTTTCTATACCTTTTGGTTCTATATAATTATCCATGTTCAGGGGGTGTCATATTCAAGACACCCTGGTCATAAGATAACATGACTGTGAGCTATCTCAGAGAAAAACCTCAATTATGACTAATTCCTAGGAGCCCACTCATGGTTATTTAGAGACTAACACCTCCTTCAGGTAAAACCATTATATCCAACCTGCTTTCATAACCCACTGCCTCCTCCCGAGCACAGGGACCATCTGTTACACGGAGGGAACGCCAGCTCTCCCCAGCAGCCATCACACAGGGATGGGACGGTTGGGGAAACAGGTGTCTGGGGATCTGGGCCAACTGTGCCTTTATATTCACACCTCGGGTCCTGAACTCTGCCCGCTGCCCTCAGTCCAGGAAGGCTCCTAGCAGCAGCCATCATTATCCCTGCTCAGTTCATTTCACCACCTCTAGGCCTGGCAGCCGCTCAACCACAAACTGATTTGACAAGATCTAGGCGTAGGCATCTACCAAGCTGCCAAGCTGAATAGGCGAGTGGCCTGTTTACTTAAACACAATAGCTGCGCCCCAGAGGCCTGCTAGGAGTCAGGAAGCAAACACTGCCAACTGTTTCCAAGAAGTTGCCAGAAGGGCAGGTGCCCATTCCTTAAGATTCATCAGCAAATCAACTGGAAAGAAGGAAATGTGGACGGGGGAAGCTAAAGCAGGGCTCCCACTTTCTAAGGGTGCCCACCACCCACCACAGGGTCAGACCACCCTATTTCACTCACAACCCAAATCTAAACCTACAGTATATGCAGTAAAATATAACCACCTACATACCATCTGCTGGTATATACCAAGATACATACATTTGAATTGGTCTTTTAAAACTGTATCAGTTAATCCTATCCGTTGCCACTCCCCACCCCCAACCCACACCCCCACCAGGCTTTCAGGATAAAAATGCTCTGAAGAACCAACAGGAGATGGTGGTTGGCCTGAGAATGAAAAAACTCTGGTACCATTCCCAGTTCTACCCCAAACTAGTGATTAGAATACACTGTCCTATGCAGAGTGCCACACTGAACCACAAGCCACCAAGTGATCAAATGTTTGGAAAGAGAATTAGGGATGATTCCAGAGACAGAAGGGCAAGGAAGTGGTGGGGATAACTCAATTATGTCCAAGTTCCAGCGCCCTAGAAGGCAACAGGCTTAAGGGGTGGAGGAGGGATCTGGGGGAGGGGCGAGAAAGAGCGTTTAGAAAGTGAGAACTGACTTCAGTGAAAGAGCACAGGACTGGGGGAGGGTCCATCTGGTTCCGGTCTCTGCCCTGCCGGAGACTGGGACGTCCTTTTCTCTCCCTGGGTCTGTGTCCCCATTGCTACATCCCAGCCTGGAGGGCATGGCCCAGCGGTTGCATAGGTCCCTTTGGTAAAGGTGAGCTCTGGCCAGGCTTGCTTTGCCTCGGGAGCAGACTTTTCTCCAGGTCCCTCGCCTGTCTCCCAGGGTTCGCGTCCCTGGGGCTGGGGCTGGGGAGGCCCTCAAGGGTGACGTGCTGGGGGCTCGGGGACCGGCTTCCCCCGGCCCCTTCCAGGCCCGGTGGAGGCCAAGGGCAGGCCGCCGGGTCTGGTAGCCGCGCTCACCTAGCCGTTCCGCTCCATCCGCCGCCTGCGCCCAGCTCTGTCGGCTGGTAAACAGCCCTGGTCTCCCGGGCAACGCCGCGGGGTGGGGGGCCACGTGCTTCCGCCGTGACCGGAACCGGCCTGGGTCGGGTAGGGTCCAGTTGGGTCTGGTCGGGTCGGGTCGGGTGGGGTCAGTGGGGGCCGCTGGGCCAGGAGCGCGGAGGCCATGAGCTCCAGGTCGGTGGATTGCCAGCCGTATTGCCTGGCCTGGAGGCGACAGGGACCTGCGGGCTCCTTCTCTCCTCTTCCTAGCATCACCTGCCTCTGTTTCTCGCTGGGGAGAGTGTCTGGGAGAAGGAGAGCCCTAGCCGGGGCGTGGAGGCGCGGGGAGCAGCACACTAGTCTCAAACCGCGTTTCTCACCTTGGGTCAGGTCCTGAGCCGCCTCTCAGTGTCCCTGGTTTTAAAATGAGGCTGTGGGACTGATGGATTCTCGGAACCCTAGACTCTGAGTGGATGCTTCTAGGGTATCTGAGTTGCGGGGAGCAGGGTCCCCATCCTCAGTACAGCCCTTTCAGCGCCAGATCCCTGACCTCCTCATTTTCACATCAGCCTGCCACTCCGGGCCACACTGGGAACCTTATCAACAGCATCTGCACCTCCTTTGATGTCCCCAGCCACAATCTCTTCCACTTCCAGCCGCTTGAGTCACTTCTGCTGTATCTGTTTTTCACCATCTTTGGGCTACCTGTCCATTGCTGTCTCTGCTTTCCCCCTCGCTATCAACCTGCTTCTTCCCTGTCCTGGCCCATCCCTCAGCATTCTCAAAAGGATCCTCCCTGCCCGAGTCCTGCTCTCCTTCCATCTGATGAAACCCCAAACCAAATCAGTCCGCCTACACACCGGTACTGAAGAAGTCTTCGCCAGCCACACACCTTGGTGTAACAAACACGAGGTCTCTAACCTCAATTAGACCATCAGCCCTGCACTTCCATCCCCGACCGACCATTGGGTTCTCTCTCCCTCCTTTCTTCTTCTTCCTTTTTTTTTTTTTTTTTTGAAGGGGAGACAGGGTCTTGCCCCGTCACCCAGGCTGGAGTGCGGTGGTGCAATCACAGCTTACTGCAGCCTGGACCTCCCCAGCTCAGCCTGCCTTGTAGCTGGGACTACAGGTGTGCATCACCATGCCTGGCTAATTTTTATTATTTTTTGTAGAATAGGGTTCTGCCATGCTGCTGAGGTTGGTCTCGAAGTCTTGGGCTCAAGTGATCCTCCCGCCTCAGCCTCTCAAAGTGCTGGGATTACAGACATGAGCCACCTCACCCAGCCTCTGCTTTCTTCTCAATAGCTATTTCAAAACGTCGTTTTGCTCCCGAAACCTCCCACCTTTCCCTCTCCCACCTCCCTCCCTCCCTCCTCCCTCTAAGAAGATACCTTTACTGCCCTCTTAAGAGGAAAAAATAGAAGCCATCAGATGGAAACTTCCTCAGCCTTCTGCCATCAGGCCTGCAAACTTGCCTGCCTACGCTTCCTTGTTTTTCTCCCTTCCTCCAGTTCTAATGTCTTCTGATTCTCTCCAAGGTGAATTGCTCCTCCGTGGGTGCTTAGAAGCCCATTTCTGACCACACAGTCACACATATACACACCCTCACACTCCCTCTGACCCTAGAAGATTCCTCCCGACCCTCCTCATCTGCCTAATTCCCATTCACCCTTCAGGTCCCAACCTCATGGATGAAGTCTTTCTTCCAAGGTGGAATTAAGATTTCTTCGAAAGAAGTCTTAACTGGACTACTGTCTGCCAAACTCTGTTCTAGACTCATAGGATACACAGATGAATAATTTACTGACAGTATCATTAGAAGATAATGTTAGTAGACGTGCACGAACCATAGATTCAGGCCAAGCATGGTGGCTCACGTCTGTAATCCCAACACTTTGACAGACCGAGGTGAGAGGATCACTTGAAGCCAGGAGTTTGAGACCAGCCATGGGCAACATGGTGAGGCCCTATCTCTCCAAAAACAAAGAAAAAAAGAACGATAGATTCATTATCTAGCGTGTGGCAAAATATTTGCTATCTGGTCTGTCCTGGACATGTGGACACAGGATTGCGACAGGAGCGCAATTCTAACCGTCTTTCAAGACGTTCACAATCTGGTTGAGAGAATGCTTTTCACGCTGATGAACAGTTACAAATCAGATTATTTTCAATACAATTTGAGCCCAGGGTAGAATAGCAGGCATAGTCTGGACACAATTAGGTACCGAGTGATTAGCACAGACAAGGCAGTTCTTTGGGGGCCATGAAAGAAGATCATTTCAGTGGTGGTGTTTCTGCTCATCTCAGAAGGGAAGGCCGTGACCCATGGGAGTTGCTGGGGAGGGCCTGGGCTGGGCCGGGCCTCTCGTTTGGGTTGCCCCCTCACACACTCTGGTCATCCAGGAAGCTTCTGTGGCCCTCGGAATGTGTAAAAGATGGTGGTTTTAGGAGCTGCTGGTTTTGCAACTGAGTGCTGGCGGCTTATTTCTTGTTAATGATTCTGTCAAAAGTGTCTTAGCAATGCTCTTCAGCCCTTCAGCGCCCACCCAAAAAAGATTAAAGTGGATTCTTCATCAGCTATTTTAAAATCACCTAAGAATTATGCAATCCTTTGGAGAATCAAATTGGCTTCTCACCTCGGGTGTGTGTGCGTGTGTGCGCGCGCATGCCTTTGCCAGTGCACAGTGAAATGGCGGTCTGTTTAATGTCAGCAGTACGTGCAGTTAATGTCAGCAGTACTTGCAGTTAATGTCAGCAGTACATGCCTTTTGCTCTGCAGTGTTGTGTAATGCGCAGCCCCAGGGGGAGGCAGGAGAGGAGGAAAGGAAGGCGCCAGTCCATTGCTGTGCCTCTGCTGCCTTTGTCCCCAACCTTCTATAAAGAGGATATCTTCAAAGGATGGACCCCATAATGCCTGGTGTCTGGCACATACCCAGAGGGGATCTCAGTAAACATGGGTAGAGGTCATTGCCCTGCCAGCTGAAATGTAGACTCACCTTCCTTTCCAGCCATGTCCCGATCTACTCTCCAGCTCTCTCCCTGGGCTACAGCCAGCTTGCTCCCCAGATGGGCCCCAGCTTTTTCATCTCCAGTGTCTTTGCTCATGTCTACCCCACCCTGCTCCCTTCCTTGAAGTTAAGCCAAACTGACTGATCCTCCAAGGCCCATCTTAAAAGCCATCTCTTCTGTGAAGCCCTTTCCTGACCACAGCCTCCCCACAAAAGCTCATGTGCTCTCTCTGGTCCCCTTTGGTCCAGTGGAACATGCCCAGGATGGCGCTGTGCACCCTCCCTGAGTCGGCTCCTTTCATCTTCACAGTGCTCCTTCATGGAGGCATCATAGCCCTCCTTTGGTTTAGAAAACAATGGAGCCTCAGGGTTCCCCCTGGTGAATGAGCAGCAGAGCAATTTTACAACCCACATCTAGCTGTTTCCAAAGCCCACCCTGGACCCCAGAGTCCCACCTTCGAGCTCCTCACCTGCATGTTCCCCCATGGTCCTTATCTGTACTGTCCGTTGCACTGGTCGTAGGGACCGCAGGCATGGCCTCTGATGCCAAAACTTGAGTCTGAATCCTGGCTCCACCACTTGTCAGCTGAAGACGTTAGGTAAATGATTCACCTTCGCTGGAAGCCAGTTTCCACATCTCCAGAATGGAGATGATAAGCACAGGATTGTTGTGCGGCTAAAATGAGAAAACACACATGCCAAGGGCTTAGTGAGGGCTAAGTCTCATCACATCATCTTCACTTACAGTGTACATCTCCTTCAGTAGGTGATGAGCTCCTTGAAGGCAGGAACTTGCCTGTCTCAGAATCCCCTGCTTTGCCCACACAGTGCTTACTTTGTGATAGGTACTCAGCCATGATGCTGGTGGTGCTGATTCCAAGGCTAGCGTTTCCACTGAGTGATCCAGCAAGCTGCTTATTGGTATCCTCCCCAGCCATATTTGGCTTGGAGTTCA